CAGAGACACCCTAGAGGAGTTTACAAGTGTTCTTTCCCACAGAAGATTCCCACTTGCAAACCTCTCAAGCTCCAAACCATGAGGATATCATATTTTATTGGTGGAATATTGAGCTGAAGGTCATTAAATAATCCCAGTTGATCTTCTAGGATTTAAGGAAGTAATCTGATGCCATCCATCTACTGTAGCTTGATGTCGATGAATGTTACATGCTGTCTTCTCGAGAGATTAATTTTGAACAGTTTGTGCATCTGGTATTCTTTCTTTTAAGCAAAGGAATTCTATACTTCTCTCTTCGTTTTCTTTTTACTTTAGTAAAGCATGAATTAATTATTATTTGTCCTGTCTTTTGGCCATTTATTTTTTCACATTGTATGCTATTAAAGCTTCTAAAATAAATGTTTAAATTATTTTTTGTTTAAAGGCTTCTACATTGCAATTATCAATTATTTGGTTTGAAAACTCATATTCTCATCTAACTAGTAATTTTTTCTAGCAAAGTATTTGATAAAGTGCTGTCTTAATGAGTTCTTTATTTGTGTATACAAGTCTGTGCATTGCTGAATACAGACTTATTATCTCCTGGTCATTTATATGTCACCATCACTGAATGCAAACTCATTGTTATCTGAACTTAATTAAATCAGTGTTTGAACAAAAGACAATGCAAATGTGATGTTAAGTCTACTCTGCAAATTAGAAAACTTCAAAAATCAAAAATTATTTTAATTTATTTAATATTTTTTCTATTATGTTTTTTTTTCATTTTAAGTTCTACTTCTAGTGAGAATCCACTGGTACTATTATGGCACGTTTTATAATCATATTTATTCAAATGAATGTAGTTTGAAACTTCTAGGATACATATTTTTAAAGAAACTGACATGTAGTATTAGTGTTCATCTTTTTTTAACAGTATGGCATATTTGGTATTCATTGAAATATTATATATATATATATATTATATGCTTATATATATTATGATGGAAAAAACACATACTTCCATGTGAATATATGTAAGTATATACATATAAATGAGTTAGAGAATTTCTTCTTGTAATTTTTTTTGTTGTTTTTTTGAGACAGGATTTCTCTGTGTAGCTTTGGAGCCTATCCTGGCACTTGCTCTGTAGACCAGGCTGGCTTCTAACTCACAGAGATCTGCCTGCCTCTGCCTCCTGAGTTCTGGGATGAAAGGCTTGTGCCACCACTGCCCAGTGAGAATTTCTTTTAACAGCTGATTTTTACATTGTTTTTCTACAACCTCCCCTTTAGGCCAATTTTCTGTAATTCAGGGTCACATGTAACTTGAAATGTTTCTGAATCTGATCTTGGATGTTTGAACCCTTTGCATTCATCTCTTAAGTACTAAAAATATAGGAGTGCTTGTTAGCCCATTATACCAGGTTTATAGGATGTTAGGAATCAAATACAGGCTTCTATGCCTCCTAAGAAAGCCTATGAGCTGATCTACATCCCTAGCCACAGAGAAATGGTTATGTTCTACCAAGGTAAGAATTTAGATGACTGAATTCAGTATCTAGCATGTTAACCATTATGCTATGGATAGGTTCACCTAAGAACATAGGAGTACTCCTTAGTACATTATACCAGGTTTATAGGATGTTAGGAATCACCTCCAGGCTTCTATGCCTCCCAAGAAAGCCTATGAGCTCATCTACATCCCTAGCCACAGAGAAATGGTTATGTTCTACGAAGGTAAGAATTTAGATGACTGAATTCAGTATCTAGTGTGCTAACCATTACATTATGGATAGGTTCACTATTTCTTAACTAATAGGTAAATTTTAATTAATTTAAAATTGAATCTTATATAAAAAGGTGTTTTTAATATATCCACAATTTTTGTCAGTAGTATTCAAACTGAAAATACTTCCTTCTTTATAAAATACCGAAGAAGTCCTAGCAGTTATGAAAATCAGTTTACATATATTTTTTGTCTATTTTTAACTATCTAAATATTGTTTAGTAGTAAAATATCACTTGCTTACTAAAGTAATTCTTTTATATTATAAAGCACATTTTCAACTGATTATTTTCTAAACTATAAACTTGTAATAGAAAATTACAGATGTAGTTGTTCCACTTTTTTTGGATTAATTCTGGATTTTTGACACTTGGCCTATGCTCTGTTTTCTGTTCTGAAACCAGCAAGACACAGTTCTCATCAGTCAACAATCTCTGCATTGAGCATTTGCATATGTGGGTTTTCTGGTGTATGTGAGTGTTTTCACACCTTATTGTTTCATCATTTATTCTCAACTTATCTTTATTACCTTTATTATGTTTCCTTCTATGTTTATGGGAACCATTTCTCAAATGTTCATTGGTGATTTCTGGTTCAAAATTGAAATTTTCTTTTTTTTAAGTTTATTTTTTAATTTGCATTCTAACACAGTTCTCTCTCCCATCCATCCTCCGGCTCCTCCCCACTACACCCCAGTTCACCCCTCATCCACTCCTCCCACAGGATAAGGGCTCCCAGGTGGGGGACAAAGCCTGGCCCATTGAGTTGAGGCAGGATCAAGCTTCCCCCCCACCCATTAAGGCTGAGTGGGTTGAAATGACTGTTGTTTTTTCTAACCATTTGATTTAATTTTCAAAAAGGCACCATTGACAGAACTTCAGAGATATCTGTTCAATTTTAAGAGCTCCCAGAAAATGACAAAAATATAGTTTTATAAGCAGCGATAGTATGAATAGTTTTCTAGCAACAGACCACAGATGGTAAATGCAATCACAACTTTGATTTCTTGCATATGAAAACTTTGTTTTCATCAACTTAAATGTTGGCAAACCAACAATGTGCTAAGCTTCAACTACAAGCTGCTAAATTTTAGATGCACATTTTTGGTTCAGTTAGAAAAACATTTATATTACTTATGGATTATTCTGATTGCTTTCTTATGAGGAATATTAATGAAGAGAATTTTAGAATTCTCAATGAAGTAATGTTTATTTTTTCTTTGTGTATTTGAATGACCAACGACAATGACTAAGCTATTTTGATATTCAGTCTTCCTTCACAATATCTTTAAAGTCCTTTCCTTATACTTCAGCTAAATTTGATTTCCAGAGAATATTAAAATAGGAGTCCTGGCTTCTGGAGAAGATATACTATCTTGTTTAGTCACTTTTTGTGCTTGTATCATTGTATTTGGAGTTAAAACATTTGTGCTATCTCTTGCTGTTGTATAGGTGTTCAGTTCCTTGAGTGTTATTACTCAGTCTAAAAGGTTGTATATTATTAGAATTGTGCTTAGTTTTCTTGTGGTCACTCTTGAACTTCAGTGTTCAGATTCAAACAAGTCACAAATCTGAAATGCTGATTGGAATTTTGAGTTCGTATTTCAAGCATTCCCAGATCAGTTAAGTGTGTGGTGCTGGTTTAAGCTATTCATTAGTGAAATGGACTGGTTCTTGGGTTTTTTAAAGTAGTGTTTTGGATCCAGTTATGTGCCTCACGGTGAGAGCTGAACAAGGCTTATTACAGATGGGATTGAATCTGAAAAGAATAGGGTGATCTTGCAGAATGTGCTGCAGTGGGTGGCAGAGAAAAGATTACTGTTCCCTGGGGGACCATAACAGAGGAAGAAGGGAAGGAGGGCATAGGGAGCTTGCCTCTGAAACTGTTAGCTTCAGTTGTCTCCAAAAATGTAACTGGAGGGGGTGGTGCCTAGAAGGCAATTCAGCTGATTAGGTGGTAGTCATAAAGGAAGGGGTAGAATGGCTGAGGAAAGTAGCAGATGAAGAACTAAGGGAACTCTGTTCCAGGAGTGGCAACTGAGTACCTTTATGTTGGATATAGGATAGGGGGATGAAGTGAGGAATTGACAGTGGGGAATATAAGAATAATTAGGGAGATGAGAATAGAGTAGTGGAAAGAGAGTACAGGTAGCCTAATTTGGTCATCACTAAGGGTGGTACCTGTCACTAATGTAAAATTCTTAACAATACTAAAATATTGATCATAGTTTCATTAAGTAGGGAAGATAAGATAAAGTAGATATACTCATTGTTTATCTGCAGCTTAAATATAATACAATACAAACCACTGGAGAATTATTTTGTGCATGAATTCTCATGCATATTTTTATTTAATTGTTTAAAATATCCATTTTTAGAAATTAAAGAAACATAATAAAATTTTCCAAATATAAAAATATAATCACACACACATATGTATATATATATATACATATATCACCAATATTCTACATATACTGCAGAACTAAACATGTTGTAATAAATGATCATTTAGATGTGTATTGAAGGACTATTCATAAGTAAGTGTAGTAAATGACTCGTGAAAGGGATTTGGAGCTCCGAAGTTTGATATGAACAGAAAGTTCAGAAGTACTGTGATTTGTTAGGATGAAACTGTTAGCTTCAAAAATTAATGAAATAAATAAATGAAAACAAATTGCATTCCTTTAAGAAATGAATTATTTTCGGGAATCAGAGGTAAAATGTGGCCAACCCATTATATAATGCACCTTGCATATGTTTTAGTGCACTTTTAGTATATTCAGTTGAGGGTTTGAATGAAAAAATTAGCAAAAAGTTATTAATGAGATTGTGTAAGTGAATTGTCTCATGAAAGTCCTGGGTATTATAAATTTTCTAATTTACATTGTTTATGACTCAAATTCATATCCTCTAGCACCTGGCTCTCAATAAGTCCTTTTACTTTTGAAGCTGGTCATATGTTTTACTCAATAGTCTCTTGATAGTTGAAGGCTGAAACCAAATATTTTAAACAGATGAAATTTTTAAAATTATACTTTACATATACTGGTTAGAATTAAATTCCTATTGCTTTATACAATTTTTAAAAATATATCACTATTATTATATTTGTTTAAAGTAGAATTTAAAAGTTTTTAAAAATGCAAATCTATAGATATTTTATAAATGTTTTAAAATATTTGTATAGCAGAAATTATTATTTTTCTTATAATTATGTTTCCCTTTTTCAGGTAACTCAAACGTCAACTATTCATGATGTCAAACAAAAGTTTCACAAAGCATGTGAGTTTTGTTTATCTATTAAAATTTACATGAACTTATTTTTAAAATGGCTCAAATTTGTCTTGAAGAACAAGAGTTTCCTATAGAACAAATATATGGAAGGTATGTGTGAAACATATCTCATTAATACTTCTGTACTTAGTAATTCTTGAATATAATCCTTGCTTTAATATTCAGCACTTATTGTCAGTACTGAGCATGAATCTTCATGCCATATGTTCAGCAGCCAGATATTTTGCCACTGAAGTTTATCCCAAGAACAATCAAACTTGAGGTTTAATATAATTCCTTGAGGTTTAATATGCCATTATATTTCCATCCTTGTATTCATGTTTAATATGCATTCTAATCATTTTTCTAGGAGAACTGTGTGCTTTGAGAAAATTTTGAATTCTTAAATTAGTATGTTAAGCTATTGAAAAAAACTTGAAGGTAAAAACCAAAAGAATATTTACATAATTTCTTTAAGAAAAAATAGAAAATATTTATTGATATATAGATATATACATATATAATTAGTCCACAATATGCTTAGTTCAGTGACAATGTAAGGAGTAACACCATTCATAGAAAATTACCCATATAGATCATTCAAAATACATTTTAAGGAACAAAACTGTATCAAGGAGTTATGATTAGTTAATATAGTTAAACTATGCAAACATTTCAGGGAAATTTCCTTATAATGTGCTATTGATAAACATATGCAATAAAAATATAATTACTGGAAAACTGATTACCATTTAAGTTGAATTGGGAAGACAAGCTCTGATATTTTACCTTATAGACATACGTGTAGGATTTGAATATGCCGAAAGGAATGAACAGGGCATTACACCAAGATCCAAGAATAAAGAAAGCAAGGGATGCTCACACAGCTTTCTTAGATTGTTTTTTTTTTTTTTTAGCACTAGCTTTAGAGTGAAAGCCTCTGTCATTGTGTGCCACTGTTTTATAGGATGCTCACACAGCTTTCTTAGATTGTTTTTTTTTTTTAAGCACTAGCTTTAGAGTGAAAGCCTCTGTCATTGTGTGCCACTGTTTTATAAAATATGGAATTTCTTAAGCATTAAATTTTTAAACCACACAATTCTTTTTCAAACAACAGATGTGATAATACATGCCTTTTAAACCTGTGTGCAAAATTAGGCAGTGCATGGCTCTTAAGTTTAGCCACACTGAGCTAAATAGTGAGAACATAGAGAAAAATTAATTTTTAATCTAATTACATAATCTATATAAGCAATTACCATGGTTATTTACACAGTATTCCCTACTTATTTCTAATCTATGGACATTTAGAGGTAGTATAATCTTAACAGAAAGAACATATCATATTCAACCAGTAATTGGAATGCTAAGCTTTAAAATGTCAGAAGTTCAGACAGAGGGAATTCTAGTAATAAAGGCAGAAGAAATATGAAAGTGACTCAAAATTAAGGATACTTTGTACAAAATTTGAGAAATATCCAATAGGCAAAAGTATGATCAAATTCAATAGCTATATTAAGACTTGAGATTTATTAGTCACTGTTAATTAATTCTTCACAATCATAGTTCTAATATTTAGCAGGCTTACAAAACAATAAAATATTTAAACAGTGCTTCTTTCATTTAAAGACAAATTATATTCTAGTTTTTTTATATTTGTACTATATTATAAAATTTTGATTGTCTTCAGATTTTACAAATTTTTCTATTATATTACAAAAATATTAAGGAATCATTTCAATTCCATAATATGTTTTATATGCTTTCAAACATTAAAATATATTAGTGTTACTAACATGAGACATCTGTGATTATTTAGGAAATGATAAGAAAATAAAGTCATGTATTGATTGGTTTATGATTTAGTAATCATACTATATTTTAAAAGAGATAATATAATACTACTCTATTAAAATATATAGTAGAAGATACTATATATATATATATAGATATTACAATCTTCAGGGCTTATAAACTTTATTTTCTGATACTAAATTAACTTCTTATCATGTATTCAGGTATGATATCACAATCTTCAGGGCTTACAAACTTTATTTTCTGATACTAAATTAACTTCTTATCATGTATTCAGGTATTGGAGTTTAAAAATCAAATTATTAATGTCATAAGTAAATAAACAAATAACTAAACTATTCCTTCTCACAGGAGTCTGTGTTAATCCATTACAATGTTTACTGTATAGCAGTGTTTCATTATGATATCTCTATACACTTATACAATGTATTTTAGCAATAATCACTTTTCAATTAGTGTTTATTTCACTCCTTCTTTTCTCATCTCTAACAGTCCATTGTGTGTTATTTGTTTACACTGTGTGAAAATATGTCACAATGATTGGTTTAATAAAAAGCTGAACAACCAATAGCTAGGTAGGAGAGATTATGGGAGACTTTAGGGCAGAGAGAACTCAGAGGTAAGAATAGAGGCAGGTGAGAAACAAGAGGGAGACACAGAGTCAGTTGAACATACAGAGTGGAAAATAGGTAAATAGCCATGTGGCAGAACATGGATTAATAGAAACAGGTTAATTTAAGTTGTAAGGGATAGTTTGGAGCAAGCCTAATATAAAGGTGATGATTTCATAATTTATATTGAGTGTCCATGTCTTTATTGGGGAGCTGACAGTCCCAAATGAAGTCTGACTACATACAGTCTTTTAGTTTCTTCCCTCCCTCCCTCCCTCTCTCTCTCTCACACACATACATGCACAGACATACACACACACATACCTTATAAGGCATATAAACACATATTAGAGAGAACACATGATATTTGTGTTTGTGGGATTATTTATTTCATGAATATCTTAATCCTTAATTACATTCATTTTCTACAAATATTGTATTATCTTTTGTGAAGTAAAATTTCAGTGTGTACATACAACATTTCCTTCATTGGTGTATTGGTCAATGGGAACCTTTATCAATTCCATTACTTGGCTCTGGTGAATAGTATCACAATAAATGTGAGTATGGAGGTGTCTCTTGTTGGAGAAAGTACCTATAAGTGGTGTACCAGGGTGTTATGAATGTTGTTCTCTCTCTCTCTCTCTCACTCTCTCTCTCTCTCTCTCTAATCAGCATGATATATATATCATGTTGATTTTCACTATGCCTTATAGAAGTTTACAAAGTGGAGTCAGAGATAGATTGATAAATGTTAGTTTACTGGGGAAAAGTACTCACACAAGGCAGCCAGTGACCAGGTTTGCACATGAGCAGTATGGACCCATAAATGCTTCCTAGTCAGCCGAGCCAGAGAGAGCCACTAGCATGCCTCCCTCCTTCTTAAACCCTTCTTATGTAACTCTGAATATGCCCAAGCAGGCATGGTCAGCAGTACCTCTAATCAGGATTTCAACCTACAGTGCTTGTACCATGTCATAATGCAACCAATAGAACATAAAAAGGACATAAAATTTTGTTTTCTTCTTATAATGGCAGCATTTTGTTTTCTTGGTGAACTTCATTTTACTGAGAGTGGGAATGAACCTAGGTAAAATTCTGATTTATCTTTCCTTGATGGTGATTGATGATGTTTATGGAATTGGTTAACTACCTGCCTAATTTTAAAATTGCTGCTTTCTTTTTCATTTTCGGGATTTTATTTTCTCGTTCCTTATTTTTGTCTCTGTGGACTCTGCAGTTTAGGGATATAAAACTTACTATGACTCTAAATAATTGAAACATGAAATTTAAGAGGTACTTTATATGCAATCTTAGTATATTGTAGCAAGATCTGTTTCGCATGCTCAATTTTAAGATTACTGTTAATCTTTCATTTAATTCCTGCTTAATTAGGAATTAAATTCAACTAGTCACACTTGATACTGTGAATCAAAACAAACAATTATCTCTCCAATTCAAATTTACAAAATATTTACTAATTTTGAGCCTTTTGCTTGCCCTATTTCTTCTCACTGCTTCCCATCTGGCAAGTATAAATCCCAACTTTATAAAAGATAGGTGTATCTTCTCACTTCCTTATCTATTCTTATATACTGTTCATTCCCCTTTTCTTTCCAGCACTGTCATCATGTTTTCTTTTCTTTTTTTTTCATGTGTGTGTGTGTGTGTGTGTGTGTGTGTACACATGTGTGTGTGCATGCATGTGCATATGTGCATGTGTGTGTGGTACAGATGACCCAATGCTGTTCTCATACTCTATGTTAGTTTTCCTCTCCCTTGCTTTTTCAGTAGCAGTGTAGTAAGTAATCAGTACTCTCCCAATGCTCCCTACATTACCGGGCTATCATGTCTTCATTTATTCACATTCCTCACACACAGATTTCAGCTTCTGAAACAAAAGGTCATGCATTATTCATCGTTATTTCTCCCATGTTTAGGCCTGGTTATTTAAAAACATAAGTTCAATCTATAACAACTTGTGCTTTCCAAACAAAATTGCTGAAACAAATTATACTTCTGGAGATCATGCTGTCATTTGTCCTTGACATAAGCAACACAGAAAACTGAAATTTTTTTCTCTGATACTACAGTCTGTGAATAAATATATAGGTGGGCTTGGTGCTCGGTTTGTGCTTATGAGAGAACTGACACGTTTGAGCACATCTAAGAAAATAAAATACACTTTATGAAAATGTCATTCCTAATTGTTTTTCAGATAGTCAATTGCTTTTAGATTTTTGTTCTTAAGGTCTTCACACATCCTTTGAATGCTCAAAGACAAAAATGGTAACATTATACATTTCTGGTGTGGAGATGTCTTTCTAAAATTAAAACGCAAACACTGGAACATTTGTTTTGATTCTCTGTGTCAACTGGACAGACATTTTTTCCTAAAACAGAAACATTCAGAGGCTGGCATGATATTTCTCAGCTGTTTGTGGCATTCTATCACCAAATAACGAATAATCAGGTCTTTCTGTAGCCAGCTAATAAGCAAGCCCTAGTAAATAACTTCTGAGTACTTTATTCTTTTCTAATGGACTGACAATTACAAATGCACTAGAAAATTTTCTATTTCTC